TCACCCTGACAGAATCAATCAATTAATCTATACAATAGTCCGACATTTTATTGGTACCCCTACAAATATATATTCTCGCATCCATGATCAACTTAGTAATCTTACCTGTCCAACTTTAAGTGATTTTCGATGGTATAAGGATGTATTTACCTCTCGTGTTATATTAAGAGAAGACTGTACTAAATCATTTTGGAAAGAAAAATTTATTAATGGATTACCTAGTCTATTTGCTCACAAAATTAGAGATGTTCTTAGTCAACCCACTGGAGTTATTGAATATGATAATTTAACATATGGTGATATAATTAGCACTATTCAAAAAGAAGGTTTAAAAATGTGTATTGATCTTAAACTTACTCAAAAAGCTAACAAAGATAAACATAAAGCTAAATATGAATTAGGCAATTTCTGTGAACAATATGGTTTACCTCCTGTTGCACCCTCTCGTAGGAAATCACACAAATATTCCAAACATAAACATAAATCATCATACAAATATTGTAATAAATATAAAAAGAATTATTCACCTTCAAAGTCAAATGATAAGTTCTATACTAAACCTAAAAAGAAATCTTATAAATCCAAATCACATCCGAAATCTAAATCTACCAAAGATGTTACTTGTTATAACTGTGGTCAAAAAGGTCATTATTCAAATAAATGTAAAGAAAAACAAAAATTAAAAGATCGAGTTAATCAACTTCAAATTGATGACAATTCCAAAAATCAATTATATGAAATCTTTCAATTAAATCAATCTATTAGTAGTTCCTCTTCTTCTGACCATCCCAATACTTCGTCCGATTACCAATCACCTAGTGATGATTCTGATAACAATATTACTATAGGATGTAATGATGTTTGTTGTAAACCAGTTAAACAAATTACTGTTCTTACAAAAAATACTCAAGAAGAATCAACTCTTATTGAATTAATTAGTAAATTAGATGATCCCAATTTAAAACAAAAATATATTGATAAATTAAAATCCTTATTAATTCATTCAGATAGTAAACCTAAGTTTGATAAACCCATAATTAGTTTATCCAAAACCTTAGATAGATTTAAAAATAAACAAAAAGAAGTTACATTACAAGATTTACAACAAGAAATCAATCACATTAAACAAACAATTAAAGAATTACAAAATAAAGATAAAAAATTGGAAGAAGACATTATTACTTTAAAACTTAATAAAAGTCTAGATAATTTCCAAAATAATGATCAAGAATCTCCAAATGACTCTGAACATGATTCTGATCCTACTAATCCTGATAATTTGTTATTTGATAATCGATCACACCAATCCCAATCCAACAATCCTGAAGAAAAAAGGTTAAGTCTAATTAATAAACTTTACATTCAAAAATGGTATTCTAAAATTAAAATAATTATCAATGATTTTGAATTAGAATTAATTGCTTTAATTGATACTGGTGCTAATTTAAATTGTATACAAGAAGGTTTACTCCCTACTACATATTATGAAAAATGTCAAGAGAAATTAACTTCTGCTAATGGTAGTAAAATGCATATCAAATATAAACTACCTAAAGTTCATGTTTGCCAAGATAATGTATGTTTTAAAACCTCTTTTGTTTTAGTTACAAATATGACTAATAAAATTATCTTAGGTTCCCCATTTATATATTTATTATATCCATTTACTACATCTAGTACAGGAATAACTACACATGTTTTAGGCCAACCAGTCACATTTAAATTTTTATCTCCCCCCGAACTATTAAAATTAAATCAATTAAAAGATTGTTCTATTTCCCATAAAATTAGTCGCTTAACTTGGCATTTAAATTTTCTTAAAGAAGAAATTAATTATAAATGCATTGACCAACAATTAACTGATCCAATTGTTATTTCTCAAATCAATGATTTCAAATTAAAACTTGAATCCACTGTTTGTTCTACCTTACCTACTGCATTTTGGCATAGGAAAAAGCATGTAGTTACTTTACCTTATATTAAGAATTTTGATGAACGACAAATTCCTACTAAATCTAGACCAATTCAAATGAATCATGAGTTACTTGAAATGTGTAAAAAAGAAATTAATGAATTATTAAACAATCGCATCATTAGTCCAAGTAAATCACCATGGTCTTGCCCTGCTTTTTATGTTAACAAAAATGCTGAATTAGAAAGAGGCGTCCCTCGCTTAGTTATTAATTATAAACCCTTAAATGCTGTTCTAGAATGGATTCGATATCCTATTCCCAATAAAAAAGATTTAATTAAAAGACTTAGTCAAGCTGTTATTTTCAGTAAATTTGATTTAAAAAGTGGTTTTTGGCAAATTCAAATTCATCCGAAAGATAGATATAAAACTGCATTTAATACACCCTTTGGTCAATATGAATGGAACGTCATGCCATTTGGATTAAAAAATGCTCCTAGTGAATTTCAACATATCATGAATGACATATTCAACCCATTTAGTCATTTTTTAATTGTTTACATTGATGACATATTAATTTTTTCAAAATCAATTAATGAACATTGGAAACATTTAACTGCATTCTTTTACACAATTAAAAGTCATGGTCTTGTCATATCTGCTCCTAAAATTAAATTATTTCAAACCAAAGTTAGATTCTTAGGCTATGATATTCATCATAATACTATTTTACCCATTAGTAGATCCATTGAGTTTGCGTCCAAATTCCCTGATGAAATTCTGGATAAAACCCAATTACAAAGATTTTTAGGTTCCCTCAACTATATTGCTGAATTTTACAAAGACCTTCGAAAAACTTGTCAACCTCTGTTTGATAGGTTAAAGGATAATCCTCCTCCTTGGTCTTCGGTTCACACTTCTATTGTTCAACAAGTCAAATAATATGTTAAGTCTCTTCCTTGTCTTGGTATTCCTACTGAAAATTCATTCAAAATTATTCAAACTGATGCTTCCGATATTGGTTATGGTGGCATTCTTCTTCAGAAAGTCACTCCTCAATCATCTGAACAAATTGTTCGCTACCATTCTGGTGTCTGGAATAAAGCACAATTAAATTACAGTACTATTAAAAAAGAAATTTTATCTACTGTCTTATGTATTCAAAAATTTCAAGATGATATTTTAAATCAAAAATTTTTACTTCGTGTTGATTGCAAATCTGCTAAATATGTTTTGGAAAAAGATGTTCAAAATCTTGCTAGTAAACAAATTTTTGCCCGTTGGCAATCCATTTTAAGCATTTTTTATTTTGATATTACCTATATACCTGGTTGTTAAAATTCCCTGCCTGACTTTCTTACCCGGGAATTTTTACAGGGGGGTAAGGGATGACTGCACCATTTACTTCTTACCATAAATCCCGAATTACCTATTTCAAAACCCAAATTAAACAACTTACACATCTTATTCACCGCCTCAAATTAGCCAGACCACCCACCAAAAGAGCCCAATATATCAATTACCATCAAATTCAAGCCCGTCGCAATTTACTTGCTCACAACTACAACTGTTTACATCGTCATCAAGATTATTTAGATCTTCTTTCTGGTTTCTAACCATTGTTTCTTTCTCAACAGATGTCTCGTCCAAGGCCTCCCTCCAAGGCTTTGGTCCCATCTTCCAGTAAACCTAATTAACTCATAGTCCCTCCTCCTTTCGAGTCAATCACCCAATCTCATTCACTTGAAATGATTAACCGTTACCAAACTCTTGGTAACATTCATCGTCCTGATTATTCATCTGCATTGGCTTCTGATCCTTTTGCATCTAGCCATTCAGTTTCAGTTACTCCATTCCCAGTTAACCCCATTAAACCATCCCGATCTGAGTACACCAATTCGCATGTTACTAACCTGTTCTACAAAGAACCCAGTCACCCAAAAAATCAATCCATCAATGAAATTGCTAAATTCCATTTTGGCTCTGATACCAAAAGGCGGAAGCAGCACATATGAAGGAGCACATATGAAGGAGATGGCTTACAAAATCAAAAGGATAATAAATTGATTATACAACAAACACAACTGGAATGCACATTTAATTAAAAACAAAACATTTAATAAAAATATTTAATTAAAATATTTCATTAACTTACAATAGCAGGAACTGCAAGATTACAGCACAAGGTGTTGGTTTTCACCCAGAGCTCTTGGATTTTTTCAGAATATAGGTTTCTAAGAATTTCCAAGTCTGCCGAATGAGTTCAACTTGATTACATTATATACAAAATAAAGAAAAGAAAAGCAGCATTTGACTGATGAAAGCAGCTGGCAGCGCATGGGGCAAAATAGACTGAATATTCACATCATATAATTGACAACACAATGACAAAAATTCATTTCAAATTAATATGAATATAATGACAGTCAACATCCTAATGTATTAATAGGGGCATGGAAATTTGGAATGTTTTGATCTTCTTACCTCAAATAAAATCTAATAGAATAATTAAAAAGAATATAAATTGAATGATATAAAACTCTTAAAATAAACTTATCAAAACAAAAAACTCTCAATCTTAACAATCTATCATCTTTAAGGATAACCATCAAAAGAGAAAATGACCCTTTAGACACTGCAATAATGAAAGATTGAGACCTCATTTGTGGCACAACAAAAATCTATATAATTTACAACAACTATAACCCTTTTTTAATCAATGTAATTGATTAAGTTTGGGAACGGGAAAGGAAACCAATGCAAGTAAGAGAAAGAAAAAAAACGAAAACAATAAAAAAATAAAATAAAAATGATGCAGTTTTGGGTTGTTTATCATCTTTAATTGATTCAAGCCCACCAACTTTCCAAATGGCCCTACCCACCAATTTTTTTTTTTTATTCGCATTCTTTAATTGATTCGTGCCCACCATTTTTTTTGTTTTTTTAAAGTCCCATCCATATCTATTTGACTTAGAGATGTAAAAAAGGATTTAAAAAAAAAATTATTTGTAAAATTAAATAAAATATAAATTATTTTATATAGCATGTCAAGACGTATAAAAAATTAAACAAACAAAACTTCCCTTCCCTTTTGTTTTTTTTTTTTTTGTTTTTTTTGTTTTTTTTTTTTTTTTTCGAAATTTGCTTAATTTTCCTCTCTGTATTTTTCCAATTTTCATTTTTTTTCTTCTTATTTGATGTATATGATGGTTAATTATTTGTTGTATATGATAATCTGTATATCTCCACCACAACAAAAGCCAGTTTTTTTCTTTTAATTTTGGTCAGTTGATCAGTGTTACTGGAGCTCAATGTTTTTGCCCTCAGACACTGTAGGGTTTGTATAAACGGTTGGTTCTTTTTCCTGGCTCATCCATTTCCTAGGGTTTAATTGAGTTTCCGCGGGCTGATCTTGTTGTTGAGCTTGTTCTTGTGCAGGTTGGTTCATTACCACAGATGTTTTGGAGGCCTCACTCTACAAGGTTGGTTTCTTGTGGTAGAAAATTGATAAACATCACCCATCTTCACATTCACACACACACTAAGTTTGTTCGACTCAAATCAGTTTCATCTCAGTTTGAATTCTTACTTGTGGGACTCTGTTACTGATGATGAACGTATTGTATGTATGCACAACACCACCACCACAACCACCACTGTAGATAACCATTTTGAAAATACAAAGTCTCACAAATTATTAGGGGTGGTCATGGTTTGGAGGTTCGGTTGTGGTCAAAGGAATCTCAAATCCGCTATCCGTCCAAAATTAGGCGGATTGAAAAAAATCCACAACTGTCCGCTTGTCATCACGCATCCGTCCAAAATGCGACGGATCTGTTCAGTTTAGTCAATTTGGATGGATCGGTGTATCCGCTGCGCACCTCTAATTGGTAATGATAAAGAAACCATGTTATTCACTTATTTTTTTAAAAAAATAACTATTATTTTTGTTAAAGAATGTTACAATGGTCCCTTTTGAGAACATGGAAAAAAACCTAATTTATTCGCTTATTAATTTATTTAAATTTTATCAAATCTCTATTTTTTTTAAAAAAAATTAATAAGTTAGCTTTTTTCTTACTTCCCAAAACACTTGTTTTGGGAAATATGTTAAAGGCCAATTTTTTTGATTTTTTTTTACTTTAAAAAAAAAAAAAATTTCATTCGTGTATGTTTATGTTCAGAATTGTTTAATAATTTATTAAAGTTAGACTTGACATTTTGTTTTTAGATTGATATGGTATTATGTATCCATGTATGTGTATGCTTATTGGTGAGTGTTTTTGTGAATGTAAACGTTCATATTCACTAAAATAATTATTGTTGTGGATTATCAGATTTTAATGTTTTGCATTTTATGATATGAATTTCAACATTAGAAATATGTGATGGTTGTATAATGTGCAATGTAGATTGATAATTGCATGATTATTGTATAATGTGAATGTTCATATATGATTATTGTATAAGTTTTCATGATTTTTGCATGATTATTACATGGTGTAAAAGTTCACATTGGTGTTGTGATTATCACATCATTAATCAATATTAATATTTACTTTTAGAAATAGCCATACAAACGTAAACAATAATGTGATATGTTGGTCACAACATATTGTGTATCTTAATAATACAACATAGAGGTGTGAATATTCACATCAACATTGCATTTACCACAATGCAAGTCAATGGTTATATGCACACAAAAATAAACAACTAGCAACAATGTAAATGTTCACAATGTCTCAATAATATCAAAATAACATGACAATATCAATAATGCATTACTCACAAATCACAATTAATGTTAATATTCACATTAAAAAATAGGTATAATGGCACAAACAATGTGAATGTTAACAGTGTATGGATTCAGGAGGGGATGTTATTTATTTGCATGTATTTATAATATGAAAATTTATATCAACATTTAGTGAGAGATTTTGAGAAGGTAAGCTATTTAGGTTTTAGAAATGTGAGAGATTTTTGTTGTCGAATAAGAGAGATATTTTTTCCATAAAATAAGGAAAAAAATTTCTCCATGAAATGAAGAGATTCTCTTTGAAATGAGGAGAGATTTTCTCTGTGAAACAAGAGAGATATTTTTTCCATGTGAGAAGGGAGATATTTTTTATTATGTATTAATTTTAAAATGGAAATATGCCCAAAAAATTAGAAAGGTGATTTGGTCATATTATTCTAAATAAACAGGACGTAAGGAAATATTGAAGAACATGATAGATTAAATGGAACATAACAATTATGAGTAAGACTTTTTGAAAAATGGCTCATAAAAAAATATTTATAAAAAAATAATAAATATTAATAATTAAAATTATAAAATTTTTAACGTAAATGCTAACGGCTGTCCATTAAGCATTATTTAAGGTTGAGAATCATATTAAATGTGTCTTAAAAATATGTAAATATGTTAAAAGGTGTATTGATTTCAATTAAATGTGTAATAAAAGATTTCTTGTGTTCTTCAATTCTTTTGGCCTTGTTTGGTTTCTTTTTTAGAAAAAAAAAAATCGGATTTTTTTTGAAAAATGGAAAAATAATTTGATAGAAATCAATACTAAAAAAATATTTTTAAATTTTTAAAATTATCTCTGGTTTCTTAAAAGATAAAATAATATAAAAATGATAAGGGTATGTTTGGTAGTCAATTTGTTTTTAGTTTTTTTGTTTATATTTACAATTTTTTGAAATTTAATTTTTTTATTTTTCATTTTTTTAAAAATTTTATTGAAAAATAAATTTTTTACTTTCTAAATGAACATAACTTAGATACACCTAAAAATAAAATATTTAAAAAATTCAATGAATACAGAAGAATAAGAATTCATCAAATACAAAAACAAAAATTAAAAAAATTCTGAAAATATTGTAAGTTTTGTTAAAAAAAAAAAAAATCTCAATTTTTCAAACCAAACAAAGTAATTTATTTTTTTATTTCTTTCATCAAATTAATTTTTAATTTTTTAAAAACATTTATTGGAGTTTATTTTTTACAAGGACCCATTTTTTGATTATTTTGTGATACCACTAATTCCCCTTCACAATTCATAACAGAATTTAGCTCCTCACTCCTCTCCCTCTCTCATCTCTTCGCCGCCACCGCTGCCGCCGTCACTGCCGTGGCCTTCCGTGCCTTCTGTCGTTGTCGCCGCTGCTGAGTTCATCAGACGGAAACTTTTAGCACCGCTCGCTGGAACCTCAGATCTCAGCTCATATTCTTAGGTAAAATCTACCTTCACCACTACAATACCCTTACCTCACAGTCCATGTCAACTTTCCTTTTGAAATTTGCTTAATTTTCTTCTTTGTATTTTTCCAATTTTCATTTTTTTTCTTCTTATTTGATGTATTCGATGGTTAATTAAAACTTGAAATTGCATCTATGCTTCACACTAAAATGTTCAAGTCGACGCCACCTCTTCTTCACTGGAGATTGCAAAAAAAAAAAATAATGAGATTAATCTTTTCAATCATGTCATTAAATTTTGTTGGAATAACAAAGTCAATTGGCATAGGAAACACATCTTTGAATTCATCCATATCAGTTTTCATAAAGCTTTCTTCAATATTCCCGGAAACTACCTCGATTCTTTTTTTTTTTAGCCTCACTACCTAGTACAAGATCATATTTTGATTCACTATTGGCCACTGCACATTCATCAAAGACCTTGGATTGTAATGTCATGACCTCTAAAGGTATTATATGTTTTGAACTAGCAACTGCTCTTTTCGATTCGTTACTCTCAAGAGCATAAGGAATGACAATTTCTTTGATTTCTCACCGTTAGCCTTTTCAAGTTCAATACATGGAGCTTCAATTGGTAGCTTCTCATCCTTCATAATCTGGTCATCATTCTTGTTAGGCAGATTTTGAACAATTCCTTGCCTTGCAACTTCAACTGTGTAGTGTTTTGATCCCTAAGAACAACATTACTTTGGTGCATCTTGTTATGAATTTTCAGCATCTTTTTGTGGCACTTTAACCCTTTGTTTTGGAGTTTTTGTTAGCTGGTCTTGCTGGATAGTTTTTGCATTATGCGTAGGCTTCAAAACTATAGATTTCTCCTTCAATTTTATAAAGAAACTCAAATTGTATAGTTGTTTCAATAGCATCTTCGAGATCTTCCAAATATGCATGAGGTATCTCTTTTTTAATTCCAAATCTCAATCCACTTTTGAAACAAGCAATAGTCATCTATTCATTTTCGACAACTCTAGACTTGAAAAATAACTCCTTATATTTTCTTGCATAATCAACCACACACATATCACCTTATTTATGAACATAAAATTGATCAAGAAAATCATCTTGAAGATCTCTTAGACGGATTTTTTTTTTTTCTCTAAGAAACGCTTTACTCTCTTTGCAAGTCAATCCACTTGTATAGGATATCCCACAATGTGAAAATATCATGGCGGAACCGAAGTTCTGATACCAAACTGAGGTAGCACAGCGTTGAATTTTGAAAACATAGTGAATAATTTAGGATTTAAAGGATTAAATTGAAGTCTAATAGGTACGGGAAGTGATTAGGGTTTGATTGCATTACACAATTCATAAAGAAGCTTCAAAGCTCTCAATTTTTATTTTAATGTAAAATATCAACTCTATTGAATTAAAAACATTACATGACTTTATATAGGATTAGGAGACTTTCTAAACTAAATAGAACCAAAAAAGAAAACTAGTAAAATATCTTTGATTTTTAAAACTAATTTAAGACCAAACAAGAAACAAAAACAAAGACTAATTAACACTGCTAGAAATTAGGCTTTTAATGACATTTAAAAAACGCCGCCATAGCTATTAAAAACGCCGCTAATTGTTTTTGTGACGTTTAGTACCAAACGTCGAAGATGCGGCCGTCGCTGTAGCTTTACGACACTTTAAAGCGTCGCTATATTAGTATAGGCGGTGTTTTTAAAAACGCCACCAAATGTGCTGCATAACGCTACAGTGACGTCACACCACATTTAGCGACGTTTTAAAAACGTCGTGATAGATCTTTTTCTATTTTAAAATTATAACCATTGGCACTATTCTATAGCGACGTTTAAAAACGCCGTTATAGCTTCATTTTTTTTATAAAAAAAAATTTGTGCTAATTTTGTGAGATTTAACTAAAAAAAAAACCTGTAATAAAGATGAAAAATATTCAATATATTGACTAAATTTAGGTAAACATAATACTGAATCAATTCATGCTTCTCAATATGCAAAAATATTTCAATTCCAAGATGAAATAAAATTAAACTAGTGCCTAGTGGTAAGTTGAAAGTTATTACAAAACAGATCGGCATAAAAGATGCAATTCAAACTAATTATACATACAAGTACTATGAAAGACCAATGCCTTTCAGGTTTAATTTTTCCCAAGAGTGTTTGTTTCCTGAGAAATTGTTGGGGAATTGGTTGCCAACGGGCGAATGGTTTGATGTCATGAATTGAACTAGGAATAGGACTCATTGTTTCAGTTTCAAAGTGACCCATTGCTTGAAACCCATTGAAAAACCTTGGAGAACCAAAGAAAGAATAAATGGGTATGGTGTGATTTGGGGAGAGAGAAGCTAGAGAGCTCTGGTCCGCCATTGGAGCTTGGTCGTCACTGCTCTATATCTATTCCTCAGCATAATGACCAAATTAGATAAATTCCACTGCAAATCACAGATTCAGAACTTAAGATAGAGAATCACAAAAAGTAAATCATCTTAAGAATTAAACTCAATGATGAGAAATGTTACCCGAAACTCAGAGAATGGAAAAGTCTCCTAAATTTCTTTAGCTTCCATGGCTGACTTTTTTTTTACTCCTTGATTTGTCTGTGTGTGATCTTGTTCCATCAGCAAGAACAAGAATCGATTGACACTCGCATCCAAGCCATGCGATCAACGTTGAGCTACTCTGCCATTGATGTGTGTTGTTGATCTATGGACTCTCAAGTTTGTGCATTGAATTTTCTCTGTTCTCTCTTCTCTTAGTGGGCTTTCATTTTCATTGTCATCAATTACTTATATGTTGAGTAGAGAAAAGAGACAAGTTAGAGAGAAAAATGTTCTATGGGCTGGTGGCATTTTAAAGAAGGAAATCTATTAAATGGGAGTAAAAATTAATGAGTCATGCTAGGATACTAAATAGTTTATTAAATTTTTTATTAGACTTTTTATGTGGGTGTGGTTTCATATTTATGTGAATCAGCGAGACATCTATTATCCAATGGTCACCAACGAGAACAACCTAATAGAGAAATCTATTATCAAAAAAAGAAGCAGATAACAATAGACTAGAAAGTAGCATATAAAGACTTGTTTACCTGATTCACGCCAAGAACCAAGGGAATAAGACACTCGGGCTCAGTTGCTTGAGTAGATTCATCAATAAGGACCTATAAACAGATTGAAAGCAATCATGTAAACCAGAGCAGAAAAGATTGGCAATCCTTTATGACAGTAAAATGTTCACAAACCAACCTGGCGAATTCTAAAATTTGCCAATCGAGGATCGCCAGCACCAACACATGTGCAATAAATGACATCAGCACTCTGAGATATCTCCCTCTCTGTTGCTCACTTCAGAGCTTTATATTTCTTCTCATCACTGCTGGATAATTCTCCTGTATATGTAAAAGGAAAGCTCCATTAACGCAAATCCAGGTCACAACAGATATCATTCCAAGTTTAAATATGCACCCACCCATAAACATAAAAAAACACTTTAGTCGGGTTAGTTGCAAGGCAGAATTTCTGATGCGTTAAATAATAATTTTATTATCCACACAGACAAAAAAACATACACAAAGTCCCATGCAATGGTTGTCATGACAAATTTGAAAGAAGAAAACAACAAGATATATACAAATTAGCAACCAAAACATAATTCAGCTAAAACACAATATAGAACAACATTGGAAAGGATGACTTGGCATGTTTTTCGAAAAGTTGAAAACCACTCAACTGAAAAATAATACTGCAAACTGGAATTTTAAAGAAACCTGATAGTGAGAAAAGAGACAAGTTAGAGAGAAAAATGTTCTACGGGCTGGTGGCATTTTAAAGAAGGAAATCTGTTAAATGGGAATAAAAATATTTGACCAATTAACAAGTAAACAAACCTGATAGTGAAGAGTTAAATGCTCCACAGGAGAACTTACAGCTTCCCTTAATTTTGCACAGAGCCTAACAACCTGGTTTAATTAAAAAAAAATTAAAAATCTCACATCAATGAAAAATGAAAAATCAAATATCTCAAACGAAAAATCAACATTTGTCCTCATGTTAAAAAAATACATGAATAGACTAATGTTGATTGGGAAGATGATTGTCTGAACAATAGACCAAAAGTTATACCACACAAATAAAGCCAAAAAGATCAATGGCTCAAGTAAAAATACTTGTAGAAGGAAAGCATTAAAAACCCTTGGAATACAACCCTCTCTTTTTCAGGGGGTGAAGCAAAAGGCAATAAAAAAAAATTTAACAAGGAAAACTCTCAACCAAACACACTGCGGAACAGCAAGTTGTTGTCAACAAAAGAAATGCCATCAAATCAATATTTTGGGTGGTCTTTCTTATTCTTTCCCTTATTTGGAAAAATTCTAAAAAATTTAGAATCTCTTTTTCTCCCAGCCAAAGCAGAGCCTAAATAGCCAGGTACTTGGCTCAGCTCAGCACATTTGCAGCATTGACTTCAGCAAGTGGCCAAACAAATTATGCACACATGCCTGACACAAACTAGATAAATGCATCAAACAATTTAAGTACCATGATAAAATAAAACAACCAAAGCTAGTATTGCTGTAGATATGGTTTTATGATCAACCAAACAATGCATACCTTCAATCCTGTTGCACTGATCTTTTTAGCTAGCTGGTCAACAGCCACATTACTTGGAGCACAAACCAAAACCTGATAGCAACAAATCATCAAAAGGCATGTAATCAAATACAAGATCTTAGTAATTGAAATACATGGTAATGAATTTACCTGGCCCTGTCCTTGTTTGGCCATATGATATACAATTGCAGCAGAAGTCATAGTTTTCCCTGTGCCAGGTGGACCTTGAATTAAACTTATTGGCTTCTTAAGGACGCTTTTTACAGCAAAAACCTATCAATAGATGAAGAAGGTTAAAACCTTTAAAAACAACACCACTACATATATTTTTTAGATATTTTTTAGGATAAGTAACAACACCACAATATATAACAAATCCTAAAAAATGAAAA